ATGGAACATGACAACCCAATCATTTGAATTTCGGGTCACCCGATTAGTAAAAGGTTTCGGGTCAACCGATTTGCTAACGGTTGATAAAAATTTCGGGTCGGGTAGTCGGGTACACGGTTACCCGGATGACTGTTTGGATCCCTACTAATAAGTATAAAAAAAATTATATATTACTGTATTAAATATTTAAATCGGCATTGTTTGTAATAATAAATCAAATCTAGCCAGTGGGCAAACTCATCTCTTTACGAAATGCTTGGAGCTCAACAAAATCAACGCGACCAATAAAACCTCTTCAAAATATCACAAACGAGGTGTCTAGCCAAAAAAACTGATAAAGTTACAAGAAATAAGAGTTGTCATTGTAATAAAAACAAATTATGAAAATAAGAGCTTTTCTTGTCGTAAGAATAGTGTTCTTTGTGGTTGTGCTCGCCAAGGTATAATACATGTAAAGGCATTAAGTTTGTTATTGTGAAATTTCCTGTTTTAGCTTAGCGTTTTATCAAAATGGGTTATTGCTTATTAAAGTAAATTTTAATAGCGTAGTAAAGATTAATGTAAATGCAACGATTAAATAAATATCTATCGCGTATAGTTTGCATGTAGTATAAAAAAAAGTAATACAGATAAATAAGTAAATTTGCCTTTACTCTTTTTTTTTTTTTTTTTTAATTATTCATTATCGATCGGTAAAATGATACCGATTAAAATATGGCGTACAATTTTGAAGCCACGTACATTAAATTTCAAAATTTTAACAAATAACAAGTTTCACCAGACATTTTCAGGAAAAGGAACCTCCGAATGTCCACCCTCGACCCTTACTTCTTCCAACCATTGTTCCCAAAGCTCATTCGAAGTCAATGTACTTGGATCTCCTATTACTATTAAAAGTTCCTGTGCACGGGTTAAAGCAACGCATACCCGTCCCGGTTCCCCAAAGAATCTAGCAGATCTTGTTCGAACTGTAGAAATGATAATTACACGTCGTTCTTGACCTTGAAATTTTTCTACTGTTCCAATTTCCACTCCGTTAATTTCTTTATGTTTTAACAATTTACTAATCTTTTCTCGTTGTTTAACATAAGGTGAGATAATACCAATATCTTCTGGTTTAACATCTTCCTTCAAAAGCTGTTTTACAACTGCTAACACATAACCTGCTTCATGCGCATTGAACCAAGATGGTGATTGTCCCTCCCTGTTTTCTTTTCCTTCAACTTTCCAGAACATGAGCGGATATCCTTTCTTAGGAAGGTAAGAAAAATTGATTAAGCTATTGTTATTTAAGTCATCACACGGTTGAAGTGCACCTTCATAAAACGTTGCATTAGGGAAGTTAAGGATACTCGGGTGTGTGCGGTAGTTTATTAAGAGTTTCACACCATATTTACAAGTATCACTAAAATCATAGTATGAGGTTTCTACAAGACGTTCAATCAATGATTGTCCAAGGCCATGATCTTTTGCAATTTTTGAATAGACAAATGGTCCTAGTTGCTTAGGGTCTCCTGCTAAAATAATCTTTGTATCTTTAGTACCGTTTTGTAGCGCAGTCAAGATTTCTGGTTCAAGAGCTTGTCCTGCCTATTTTTTTGTAATAAAATATTGTATGCTTATGAATGAATTTGAGCATAGCTATTTTATAAACATAAAAATCTTATTATGATAAATACCTCATCAACAAAAATATGAGTATACGGCTTTGTTCTTCCAAGTGCATGCAATAATCCCGCAGTAATACAAGTAGTCACGACTACCTTGCGTTCCTCTATATACGTTAATGTTGGAACCTGGAACTTGCCGTTATTGATAACACAGTAGCGATGAAGATCTGAGTCTAGTTTATTTGGTTTCTGTGAAACGGCATAGATTCGAATCATTTCCTCGGGTGACAAATATTCACTTAACTTCCTTAATAATAAATTGGCAGCTGCATTTGACGCTGCACATGCGAGAATTCTGTTTTTGTCATCATTCCGAAGTTGTAATATTGCTTCGACGACGGTAGCTGATTTACCTATAATATTAATTCTTGATAAATAAATAATTGTAAATTCACAATGTGAAAAAAAATATACTAACCTGTTCCTGGTGGACCAAAGATAATAAAAGGTAAAGGATGATGCTCTCCTGTTTTAATAATTCTTACTGCTTGTTTTTGATAGTAATTTTGGGCAGTGTAGAAATCGGTTAATTGATCATTATTTTCATCATTTATTCCATTTCTTCTATAATTTTCGTGATTATGAGGGAATAACCGTCTAAAGTTCATCTTGTCATTATTGAGAGCTTGATGCATCCTCCTCATTGATATGCGATTATATGTGAATCGAACATTGAATTTTGCATCTGGTGAATATATCTCCTGCATAAACTTCCTTCCAAACTTTATGTCAATTTTATCTACTCGGGTACTACGCACGTACCCTTTATACGCCTTTTTATCCTCCAACCCGCATTTCACAACAAGTATAAAATTTCCTGGAACTACAGATGGACGTTCCTCTGCAAGACCAGGCATATTCAGTGTCAAATAATCTTCATATCTCTCCAATGTCGTTTCTTGCCTGTCATAAATTTTAAAACCAGCTGTTGTCTCATATTCTTCTGCATAAAGTAAGTTGGTAAAAAAATCTTTATAATTATCAGGATTTAATTGAACTTGGCTTAGCATTTCACGAACTTCGTTTTTAGGCTTTTCAAGTTTTTTTATCATTTCTGGACTCATTTCGAAATCTGGTAATCGTTTCAATTTTACCCGTTGATAAGTTCTTGGTCGTTCAACAGGTACAATAGTTTTATCCTTTATGAAATCTTTAAACTTTTCGGGTTCATTATATGGTGGATCAGGTTTAAGAAATTCCAAAATTTGATTCATGATAATTAAAACTAAAACAAAGTTCAGTCGGAAGTATCTTTCTTTGACCTACTAATTTAGGATAAATTTAAATGTTTCTTTTGTTTGGGTTTCACAAATCCTACGTGTTTTACTCTCCGAGGAAACAATAACACGTTCAGGTTAGATCAACTTATGTAGTACAATTTATTTATTTATTTCTAATTTGGAAACGTCAAGCGGTTAGAGGCAGTGATCGAAATTTCGAGTATAGATTTTTTTATTTTTTATTTTATCAATGTGACTAATTATAACCAAAATCGAATATAGTCTATTATATTATAAAAAAGAATAAAAAAAAAAGACCAAACGAACGAATGATCAGGCATATATTATTAATCAAAAAAATTTTGATCATAATTTCGAGGTCAAATACTGTATCAGTATTATTTCTCTTTATAATACATGTTCTCCAAAAAAGAAAATTATTTTTTATATTCATAAAAAACAGAAACCTTTAATTATATTGAAACTTCAATTTTTATTAACTTATACCACTATACCGTCGGCCATTACATACAGTATCTAGGGTATTATTTAAAGAACTGCATTTTTAGCACACGTGGGTATTGTGTGAGGAACTGGGCACTATATTTGGGAATCGTCTAATTTACATTCATCACGTGATTTTAATCTACAAAATTTGTTAGTAATCAATTTAAAAACTAGACGACCTCTATATTTGGGGAATACATCATATGAAAGTAATTATACCCGGTGTTACCATTTAAAGTTACAGTATATATATATATAGCAATAATAATTTATTTATATAGTATGAAATATATTTAAACAAAGGCCTTCATGTAAAGTAGAAGTCGTATGCCCCTTTGAACACTTCACATAATAGAGAGAAATCTCATAAAATCGTCCTTATAAATAAATTGCTATCTAATATTCTTTCATGGTGCTCTCCAGCAGTGTCACAAATATGCTGTGCAAAAAAATTTTTTTATACAGGAATGTTATTTTATTTTTTGCACAGTAATTGTTAATTTTGTGCAAAAAACAATACATGCACAACGGATTTTTACACTCAACCGGGTATTATTCAAGAATTAAGCAGATGGGTGGTGAATAATACATATAACTTGACTATTTTATTTGTAGCTAGTATATAAAATGTAGATACATATGACAACTTGAGCTAAGTGCTACAAAAAAAAAAAGAAAAAAATTAAAAAAAAGATCTTTGTCCGTCACAAGTGTCCTGTACATTTTACCAATCATTTTGTTCATGTGAAATAAAGCATATTCTTGATTTATTCCGAATTGCCAATTTATTTTATTGAGTTTCATGATTATGGGAGAAAATCTCATGTTTTATTAATATATTTATCCCTTTAAAGAATGATTCGAATATTTTTCGGGTAAAGAACGAATTACATTTTTCAACCAAAGTTACGATGACCAGATCTGTACGGTATAAAATACACTTATTTTTAAAATTTGTACAATGTATTATAATGGGATTATTAATACAAAATGAATACTTTGCATTACAGCTGTTTTGGGAATGATTATTTGGCCGATTCAATTAAGTTGTTGATTCAGCAGTGATAAACTTTTGATTTGGGCGTGATTAGAATATAGCGATAATGATATATCTCATTTAAGTAATACCTCTAAAAAATTGTGCTATGATTCATTAATGGTTTAGTCACTTCGGGATAGGGTGAAAGATCGTATTTAAATTCATCGTCGTATGTGGTTCAAATAACTTCTCTATAGTCTAAGTATAGTATTTACATTACACTATACTATGCTATCAGCTGAATAATGCAAAATTAATTAAAATACCAAGTATTAAAGTACCTATGGTGTTTTACACTTGCAGGAGGAACCACGACTGATCCCTCACCCGGTGCGCAACATATAAAAAAATTTATTTTACAATACATGTTATGATTATAATCCCACACTATTTTATTATTATAAAATGGTGTGGGATTATAATCATAACATGTATTGTAAGATAATTTTTTTATATGCTGAACACCGGGATCAGTCGTGTAACATCGACGGTTCCTCCTGTTGTTTTACACTTACTGGTATTATATTTTTATTATATTTTTATATTTTTCTAGTTATATATATAATTTTAACACGATTGTTTTACATTCTGGTTACTATTTTATAATTAAAGGTATTTTTACTTAGAATGCCTCACGCTGATTAATTAGCCAATAATGTGTACATAGGTGCGTTTTAGTAAAAGTCAAAAATACAATACAATTTATTTGTAGTAAGAATCAGATTATTATCATCAAGTTTATAAGGCTCAATTTTCAAATCAATTAAATGACTGAACATCATATTTGCCTGATAAGATGCTTAATTTAAGGTCCTAATCTAATTTTAGAGTGGCAGTAAAACTGTGAATACTGTATTGGTTCGGGAGATTCAACAGTAAATTTATTAGCTAAATTCATTCATTAATTGTCGGGTGTTTCATCAATTGTCAAATGTTTCGTTTTTTGTCTTTCAAAAAAATAATTTTTTCAGGCATGATTGAAACTTAAGTCTGGAGAATCTCATTTACTCGCAACAATATGAATCCGATATATACAATAGTACGTAAATATTAACCTATGTCAATATTATACGAATCTTTTTTTTTTTCTCAATCCATAAACAAAGTCATTGTAAATTTATTATATACTGTACCACCAATAGCAAATATGGAAAGCAGATAATAGATGTTAGTATACTAACCTGGTTTAAGCGTAACAGACATCATCAAAAACGTAACTTTAAGGAGCGGACGGCACACGAAGAGATCCTTTTATTTCTTTCTGAAATAGTTTTTTTTTTGTTTTTCATCACTATTAAAAATCATAGACCCCTTAGAAAATAGTTTCCAGAAAGGTTTAATGCAAATTCCAAGCTTTCTGATTTGTTGACACTGTACAATTAGCCAGTAACCATTTCATATAATCAGGTTTCTTTCAGCGGCTACTAAGCTCAGTACATTTCATTGCTTATTATCCTTTTTGCTAATATCATACCCTCTTTCACATATTTGTGCAAGTAAATCCGTTAGTGTCATAATTTATAACCATAAATTAAGCAATTGGTGCTTCAAAATTATAATCTACATTCTTGCATTACATCCAATGTTTGATCCGTACCACGTTCGAATAGTAAAGAGACTTCTCTTTTTTTTTTTCTTCAGCTTTGTTACATTCAAATTGATCTAATACGATATTATGGTTCTTCTCTCATAATTTTTAACATTAACATTATAATTGCGTTTATCTTAATCATATCCATTATAACCTGTTTAAATATTTTCTCACACCACTTTTTTCTGACAGATTCATCTGTAAAGTAGCTGTTCCTGCGCTAAGTTTGTGATAGTTCTATATCGAGATTAATTTTCTTCCTGAACAATATTGTATGCAGATGCTATTAGTACCAAGGACTCTTGCTTACTTAAAATGATCAGAGTCAAACAGAGATTATCTAGATGATACTGTAATCCAATTACATTGTTGTAGCTTAAGTGGTAATCCGCAAGAATCCCATACACGGACGCATAGATGAATATATATTTCTGAATGCAAAAATGATAAAGTTGAAAGATATCGTAAATTTTAATTCGCAACGCATAAACGTTTAATAGAGTATTACTTACATTAGGAACTTGAAACTGAATTTGTTGTAGAGTTGGACGTTGATCAATTTGCATATTTACAGGATTAGAGGATCGTAGACAAAGAACTATTAGTTGGATAAAGAACTATGGTTGAATGGTGTGGTTCCAATTATATAAAGGCTTCGTTGACCAGGGCATTTCATAAGTACGTATTTCTGATTTACGCTACTTATCTGATATGATCGTTGAACATATATCATTTTTGATTAATAGTTCACAGGTGATTCTTCATATTTACTCATCTTTTTATAAGTACATTCACGATTATGTAATGTGGTTGCGTTATTCTAATAATTTATTAAAGTCTGCGAGCGATTCTTCAAATATACCCATATCGTGATAAGTTAATCCGCGATTACTTAATATAATTGCATTGTTTGAATAATCTGCAAGTGATTCATCATACGTATCTACCCAGATTTTTATAAGCCACGATTACTTAATTAGCTGCATTATTTGGATTAAGCTCTAAAGATCCACAAGTGATTTTTCAAATTTACACATGTCTTGATAAGTTAACCCATGACTACTAACGTAATTGCCAGAAATCGCATGTAATGTCATTCGTTAATTCCAAAAAATTATCCAAGATTGTAGATATCCGAAGGGTTTTCGCGTTCATAATTGAGTGAACCATTAAGATATTTGGACAATTTCCATCATTATTAATTGAAAATATGTTGATTTTGATAAACCAAAGTCCATGATCACTAGTACATCATCACTTATTAATACATTCCTATCATGTTAACAAAAATAATTAAATTATTAAATTCAGTATTTTACTGTAGTACGTACGTACAATTAAAGACAAGAACGATTATGGAAGTTTTGAGATAAGTTTTGTATGGCATTTACGTTAACTTGCCTGAATTAATATTTCTAATTGCAATTATTTCATCGAATCAGACTTTTAAAACCATACGAAATTAACATCTTCACTGTTGATTGGCATAACCTGTCAAGATCACGATGAACAATATTTGCACTATGCAACCACCAGAAATTCCCCTTCGCCATTCTAATTTAGTTGGCCTATCTAATTCTGAAAAACGATCATGCAAATAGCTTCGAAGATATCCATTATTTGTAAACTGAAAATCCATGTATATAGTATGCTTTAGTTGTTGAAATCTAATTGGCATCAAAAATTCAAATTTATCGATTAATAAAAATGTACATTATCATATATTACACAAAATTAACTTACGTTGAGTAATCCCAAAGAATCTTGTTATATTTTTATGATAATTTAATTCAGTGATATAATAAATCTGTTTAGTCACATATAAAAAATAACTAGAGACATAAAATTAACACATACTTCTCTTTCGAATTCATAAAGCGAATCTTCATTTTACTTGTGGAATTATGGTGTAATTCTTTTAATTCTCAAAGGATCGAATGATTTAATATATTTTCCGTTTGAAGCAACTTTAATCAGGTTGACATATATATTATAATGCTCGTATATTAAAAATAAGTATTTTATTAAAGATAAATTATAAATTACAAAAAAGAATTTTTTATTATTAACTAAATATTCGTAATTAACTAACTATATAATGGGTATATTTATTTACAAAAAGTATAAAAGCATACACCGAGCCAGCGGTGGTACCCCAACCCACCATGAGATGGGATGTTCCATTAAGGGTCCTGATACTAGCTGCACCCCTTTACGGCTTTTAAAGGAACCCAAGGCGCTACTCAAGGGAGCCCCAACCATGTCACCCCCCGTAGTGAAGTGAGGGTAGGTTGTTTCTGAATAGCGTCATCAAACTACCTTAATTTATTTCAATAGTCTCTGCTTATCAGACTTACTAATCTCTTTCATGGGAAATTTATATCAGGGATAAGGAGAAGTGGTAAAAAAAATTGTGGGATTCGAAAATACTGAATCTGATTGGTTATCAATATGCAATACTTCAATAACGATGATGAAATGTCATCATTTGATATTTTCACGTGTTTAATTTTATTATTCAGATTATTTATTAAATAGATAAAAAAATAATAATAATACATATTTGTAAATACTGTAATATGGAGATTGTAGTAAATTAGGATAATAATGGACACAAAAAATAAAATTGGATATGAAATCTTTATTCCAAAAATACAAAAAAATAGTAAGCGATATTCCGAAGAATTGATCTGAAGGATTGATCTTCAAAAAAGAAGTTGATGTTGACAACCCGTTGTGGGAACATATGCATTGTTTTTAATACAAAAATTTTTGGATCAATAATTGACTATATAAAAAAAGACCACTAATATATTTATCAAAAATGGTATAATACTTGGAATCAATTCAAAGAAATTTATATACATATTGTCGACATTTAAAGCACAAAAGTAGATCCTCCAAAGTAGCCTAAAACAACCAAACAATTAATTTAACCTATATAACCTGTTATATTTCGCGTGTAGATATTCGAGTCTCACTTTAGGTGTTACTATAATCACGTGAGCAAGACAATACTTTTGCGGTAATCCGAGTTTATAAAATACAACCAGGCGTTGATGTTACACGACTGATCATTTACCCGGTGTGCAACATATAAAAAAATTATTTTACAATACATGTTAGACCATATAAATAAAATTATCGCTTCAATTCTTAAGTAATATTAGTAATATTATATATTTATTTTCGAATTATTAATACTTAATATGCCTCCCAAATAATTTTTAAACAAACCACTAAAGAGAACTTGTATCGATCTGATTCAATAGTTCCAACAGTTCATCGAAACAGGAGGAAACGTCGATATTACACAACTGATCTTTAATAGTAAAAAATGACCTGACCTCCCGGGAAATAAGTATATGTTATTGTCCACGAAGTGGGCAATAATCAAGAATCAATCCCAGATCAGATGATCAGATAATGACGGAATGGCCACTGGCTGCGAAGTCATAGAACGACATTCATATGATTGGTAGATCTACCCATGATTTCCCGTGATAATTAGCCAATCAAAATACATAATTTTTTAAAAGATTTATCGGTTTAATACTACTAGAAAACGTAACCAAATAATAAAAGATATAGAAACATCCTGTACAAGATCAATAGCAAGATTACAACTAACGAATAGTTATAAAATAGAAATAATATTAATATTACTACAAACTAATAAAGTACACAAAAAGAATTTAATAAATCCAAGCTCAAATCGATCAAAAAATTCAATGTGAATAAATTATTAACGAAGCTATCTTTTATTCTTTATTACATTTTGAAAGTAATTAAAATAATTATATCTTATTTTAAGTTACCAATATAATTATTAATAAAACAATAGCATACACATATTATCGACTATTTTTTAACCCAAAGTTGCATTTATTACTCCCCTATTATTATTATAATATATAACATATTAAACAGTACACTCAAAGTTCCAAGTTTAAAGCTTTGTTTCAATCTTCTTTTTTTATTAACCGTTTTTGGCATTTAAAACTTATATATAGTCAATATAACTAGTATTAGCAGTATATCGTAAAAATATTCGCTCCTAAGTGAAGTTCTTGGAGAGGTGGATTATTTTGGATTAATTTTAACAGTGAATATCTACTTTCGTTTAGAGCTAGAATTTGTTTTCATGGTGATTTTTTTGCTAGTGTCTCAAAAAGTACTTTAAAGTGTATAAATAAGTTACCCGGGCAATTGATTTACATTAGCAAATCAGAAGAAAGTCGGCCTATGAGCTGCGAAGCAGCCAGTGTGCTATTCAGTCATTATCCGATCATCTGATGGATTGATATTTGGTTATGTCCATTTCGCGGATAATAACTGAATAACTGATTTATTCCCAGGTTCTATTATACTTCTATACTATTTCTTCAAAGTAAAATTACGTATTTCATAAAGTCTAGCTTACTACAGATCACAAAAACTCTTGTTTTTTTTCCTTTTTTTTTTTTTAGCCAGCAACTTTCACTCTTTGTTAGTAACTCTAATGGTTTACAATAGTATAAAACTTTCGTATATCATTAAAAAAAAAGTAAAAAAAGATATATAATCAAAAAAAATTATAAAAATTCCGGATCTGCCCGAATCCGAAATCTGGACGAAGGAATAGTTTAGAAGTATAAATAAGAACCGGGGAATAAATTTCTTCTCTTTCATAATATTTATATGATCCGGTCGCTGATGAGAAACGAATAATTTGTAATACAGTACACCCTCCCAAAACTGATCCTGTCAAAACCGATAACCTGCTATAACCGATAAAAAATTGATCCACCATAATTAAAACCCGATTTCTGATAACTGATACCCAAAAGACCAGATATCTATAAGTAGGGTTGTTAATGGAGTACTCCAGGCATTAATAAAACATATAACCCGCTTCTGGAGTGCTCCGGAGTGGGTTATATGTTTTACTATTGACTGGAGTGCTCCATTAACAACCCTATATATAAGATATCGATTTTGACAGGTAATATAAATCGATTTGATTGGCTCAGATCGGGTTTTGTGCAATAGATTATATATATAAGAAATATAATCCAGCCAATTATATTTATTTGTGATCGTGTGACAGCATGCCATTGGTATTTTAAATCAATTTTTAAATCCGATAACCTCTCAAAACCGATACAAAAGCTGTCCACCATGCGTATCGGATTTGAGAGGGTGTACTGTATATTACGATAGTATCATATGATAGCAATACATCAACAGCTACTTATTTTATCTCCGGATAACTCCTATTTCATTTTCTGATTTCAGAATTTCCAAACAGAAATAGGTCATTTTGTACCCCACTTATTTTCGAAATAGGTTAATTATATGAATCACCCTATTTATTATCATTTAGCCAATCATAGGTAGGATTTTTAACCATGCTAAACAGCTGTAATTTGAGAACTTCATTGCCTATTCGGGATCATGATTTTTCGGAATCTTCGCCATTAAAAAATTTACCATTTTCACAAATTTTGAACACAAATAAGATTTTTAATATTCCTATCTATATATTTCTTAAATAACTTAATTTTTTAATTCTGAAACCCTTCATTGTGCACAGTTTTTTTAAAAGCACTATGAATGAACATTGTTTATTAAATTTGATTTGGCCCCTTAATAAACAATAAACAAAGATCAATATCGATATACTATATATAAAAAATTGTCAATATATAATGCCATACCACAATTGTGATTGTTCATTTGTTTATCCTGTCAGAATTGACAACTATGTCATGATATGTATGGTATTGTACGCATTTTTCCATTGCACTATCGCATTGCCCATCATTGATACTGTATCAGTGCCAAAATTTGGCACAAATATTCTGTGCAAAAAATTTTTTTTATACAGGAATGTTATTTTATTTTTGTGTATATTGCACAGTAATTGTTAATTTTTGTGCAGAAAACAATACACACACACGACAATTTTTAAGTATATTAACAAATTGTATTATAAATATTTCCCAAAATAGTTATATCGATACAGAAAAATCGGTACACTTTTTATAATTAAGCTTGAACATATCTTTACAATAACATGTAAATTATATACTGTTGACCCTCCCAAAATCGATCCTCTCAAAATCGATAACCTGTCAATCTGATAAAAAATTAGTCTACCAAGTCCGTTTCCATTATATAAATCTAATAGTTTATAATGTTTCAAATCCGATAACCTCTTAATACTGATACAAAATCTGTCCACCGTGCATATTGAGTTTGGGAGGTTCAACAGTATAACTATATATCGAGTTCATACATTGATACGTATTGGTGTACAAATAGAACAAATTAGTTGTAAATGCAATACCTCTTAATTTCTACATGATCTCATCGGTCTGACCGTAGAGCAAATTGATGCAAATGAAACAAAGTGGTTACATGTAAACAAATTGATTACATGTAAACAAATTGGTGGCAAGTAAACAAATTGGTTGCAAATGAATGTCAATATCATTTGAATTTCTAATAAAGAATCCTATTTTCAATGTCCTCATTTCGAGTATCGTGTTTCTGATTATATGGGTACATCTAGGGATGACAAAAAAAAAGATTACATTGATTTAAATAAGTGACATTTAAGATTTTAATATGTTTAAACCTTACATAATATATCCATATCATAAAAGTTACCTGATTTAAATCAATAAAATCATTTTCAGCCATCCCTGGGTCCATTTATATGGTTATAAAATTATCTGATTTCTGTTACTAAGATCGTTAAAAGAGTTTGAATAACTCCATGAAAACATCCCCAACTACTATCCAGAGTTTTATTTCATATATTTACTTATAAAAGATAGTTTGTTAAGTTTACTTTTTACAATGTTCTCGAAATCTAAAAGAATATTTACTAGGTAATAAAAATGTCAAGATATTTGCCGATTTGTGCTTACAATCATTAATATTAATAATCTGCTGATTAAATTAATACTTCATAATATTGAAGGAAAGGAGACGGTGATTTAAATAGGGAAAATTTGAATTATTTATATTTTAAGTCATGGAGATTATTAGACTTAGATATCTATCCCACAGTCGAGCAACAGTGTGACGTTCTTAAAAATAAAATTTTAAACTATCACTCACTTAATAAAGATGAGAAAACATATTTAACTAATAGACTTCAAAGATATCACGACAACTTTAATGTAACCAATAAAATAGGCAAAACAAGAAAATGTGAAAACTGTAAAAATTTGATTTATGCTATTCAGTATTGTGAGCATTGTATTAAAACTTATTTGCAAAAAAATTTTGGAACCTGGTCTTCTGGAAATGTTAAGGTTGACAAAAAAATTCAAAATGCTCAAATGAATACTGTATGTCCCGATGAAGTTATCGAGTGGATACCATTTAATAGCTTTAGAAATATTCAGTTCTTAGCCAAAGGTGGTTTTGCAACTGTTTTTAAGGCTATATGGAAAGAAGGTTCATACGATAAATGGAATCCAGAAATAAAAGAATTACAAAGAATTGGTGAACAATGGGTTGTTTTGAAAAAATTAGAAAATTCTAATCAACATGACAGCATTTGGTTTAATGAAGTAAATTTTATCTTTAAAATATATGTTTTAAAAAAATTAAATATTTTTGTTTTCGTATTAAAATAATTAATTAATATCTAGGTTACATCCCACTTCACTATTGATAAGATCGCAAAATATCTTGTTTCTTGTTATGGATTGACACGAGATCCAGAAACTGGTGATTTTATGTTAGTTTTGGATATATATGATTGTGACTTACGAAATTATTTACGAAATAAGTCATTTAATTTAACTTGGGAGCAGCGTTACAATATTGTTTTAAGAATTTCATTTTGTTTATATGTAATTCATAAATCTGGTAGAGTTCATAGAGATTTACATTCAGGAAATATTTTAATTAGTGGAAAGCTTGATTCTTTAAGAATTAGTGATTTAGGTTTTTGTGGACCTGTTGAAAAAGATTCTGATAGCATCTATGGTAATCTTCCTTATATTGCACCTGAAGTATTAAATAGAAATCCACATACTACGAAAGCAGATATCTATAGTTTAGGAATTATAATGTGGGAGGTATTGGCTAGAAAGCATCCATTTGATGATATAGATCATAATAATCATTTAATGATTGATATTTTTAATGGATTAAGGCCACCAATACCTAATAATACACCACAAGAATATACATCATTAATGCAAAAATGCTGGAATAATGATCCAGAAAGCAGACCAGATGGTTATACAGTTTATATAACAATGTGTACGATGTTAAAAAAGCTTCTTGAAGCCAAAGATAGTGGAATATCAGAAGAAAATTATTTTTTTGGTAGAAATCTTTCAGTGGATACTTACTTTTCAGATGCTTTCAGTTTAAACAATTTCTCTGTCTGTAATCATTATAGCAAGTTCTATTCCTTTATAAATCTTTTAAAACGTGTAGAATCAAATGAAGGTAATAATTAGATTTATTATATAAATTATTATATTTTATATTATCTATTTTAACATTAACCATTAAATTTAGAGCATAATTACGACTATAGTAACATTGATAAGGATCCACATCCTAAAAAAAGAAATAGGTTAACTATTTCGATATCAGATTCTAAATCTAGTACATTGATTGTTAAAGAGTTTTCCGAATATCAATAATTAGGGTCATGTTAATTTATCAGGAACGAAATGATATGTAAGTATTATTCAATGAATGATTTTGTAGCCCTTTCTTGTCTATATATGTATATTAACATTTGATGATTGAAAACTATTAGTGGCAGATTTTCTACTATCATCCTACGTGATTAATTTGGAGATTAGGACTAGAGATCCGTCATCTACCGGTCATGGGTCATGACTAAAAATCTTTAAATTGGGCTAACATATTATAATTTTTACAGTTTGATCAATATCAAAAAATATAACCTGTGAAAATGTGATACTGTAATTAGAAATTAGTTAAAAATGTAGCATTTAATTATTAAATAAATTTAAATATAATATTATCCGATTATAAATAAATCTAAATGTGGTTCTGGAAATCTATAATCTCCAATCACTTCGTATTTTTCGGAAATGCACGGGTCTGATCATGAGGTAGTTGGCCAATCATAAAACGGTTTATTATCCACGCGATAGACTTTCTGTGAAAACAGATAGATAATCATTAAACATACTACAATTTCTTTTGTAACTTCGAAGCAACTAACTCGCGTTGTAAATGAATAAAACCATTCACTCAGGATAAAATATAGCTTATAAACACAAGAGCTTTATTAAAAAAGTTTCTTATAACAAGTTACATGCATTTTATTTCCATTTTTTATACTTCATCTATAACTAATGAAACTATACTATCGCATATATAAAATGAATCAAACACCTTATAGAGAATACATATAACTTTCGAAAATAGTCTACATAAATTTATAAATGAAATAAAAAAGTTAATTATTTGAATAACAAAAGAAAAAGATGAAAAAAAAACAAAAAAAAACGATGTTAAGTTTATAAATTAAGCAGTACAATATATTTTTATTACCTTCTGCTATACAGTAAACAATACTTCAACTTTTAGCATATCTACATTTTATTGCATGATTCAGTGTGATTCAGCGTGATTTAACAAAAAGACACTTGCTAGGAAGTTCTTTTATTAATAAAGTGTTGTATCGATTGTTATTTTTTTAAGTTTGCTTAGACCTGAAAAATTATGGTTTTACAGTACTATGCCGTATAAATACTTGTGTAATGTTGATCCCAGAAATCATCAGAAACGAAAGCCCCCCTGCTACTCCTGCCTAATGTTGTTAGTCAAAATTATTTTTGCCAGTGTCAAAATTTGTCTAAATTAAATTGTCTAAATGTCTAAATTAATTTTTTAATAGTGATTTTTAAAAAAAATAATAATGTCAAAATTGCCTAAATTCAATTTGCCTAAATGCCTAAATGTTTAAATTATTTCGACTAACAACACTACTCCTGCCTCTGTTTAGAAGTCTGCTAAAGCAAGGTAACTATTGACATAATAATTCAGAGAATGTGTAGGTTAATTAACACTAACCATATGATCGACATATAGCTGCCAATAGAATTATAAATTAACTGTCTAATCAAAATGCATGCAATATCTAAAAATTTTTTTAAAAAATTATCAGTATTAAAATCTTGTACTTTTGAAGTTTTAGTAATTATCAGCTTGAAGTTCTTTGCAAGAAAAAAAAAAAAAACTCATGACAGGCTTGTCTTAAAGTAGGTCTTGGGTGAGTTATAAAGCAAAAAAAAAAGAACAAATGAATAAATTCAAAAACTTATTAAGTTTTTATAGCAAACTCTCAAGCGGCAAATAAGCTTATATATGTAAAAGAACTCTCTGCAAACAATTGGATTCTAGCTAAAAAAATTTTACAGAAAACAGTAAATAATCAACTTCCAGTTATTACAACAAATAGCAAACAAGAAACCTCATAACAAAAAAAAAAAAAAAAAAAGTAAAAAAACTTAACAGTAATGACAGGCTTGATTAATTATAATATATAGTTACCATAATAATAATGTCAACCATCCAAGACCATCTTTTTAATATGAATGAAATGCTTGAGCTTTCCACTAAGGACTTTAACAAGCAGTGAGCTCTTGTTAATAACTTTTGGACAAGATACAATGGTTATAAATTAGATAATAGTAATGAACAAAAGACTTTTGTTTGTAGACTTTCAAAACCTAAAGAATCAAGTGGAAGAAAAGAAAATATTTTTGCTAAAAACCTTTGCATCACTTGAAAAAGACCTGCTATTAATTGTGAAGCCAGAATTAGAATAACATAGTTAGCAGTATCAAATATGGTTAGAATTGAGAGGGTAAGAATAGTTTTATTTAAAACATTGTAATGTAGTAAATAAAATCAAAAAAAAATAAAAATAAAAATAATAAAAAAAAAATAATAAAAAATATTTATAAGTAGATGGCACCCCTGATTATAGCCATTTGATAGAAGAGAGTGATATGCGAAAATGATCAAAATTTATTAAAGATATGGTAAGCAACAAAGCAATTAAGAATTACAAATCCCTGACGATTGCGAATGTTATAAGGAAAAAGTCTCTATATCAGGAAATTTTTAAATAAGATGCATATCAATTACTAGCTGCAGGGTTAATTGGCATCGATTTATATCAATTATAATCGATTGCAATCATTTAAATTTAAATGATTACAATCGATTGTAATCAATATAAATCGATTGCAATCATTTAAATTTAAATGATTACAAACAATTATAATTGATATAAATCAATGCCAATTAACCTTGCAGCTATTAATCAATATATATTTTATTTAAAAATTTCTGATATAATGTGTGTTAAGACTCGGGCATGGAATATTTGAAAACTAAGGAGGTTGCTAATATTAAGCAAAAGCTTGTTGGTCTAATGAATTTGCATCTTATTGGGGATGAAAATTTAAAATCTGATATTTCAAATACAATCAAATTTTTAATAAAAAATAATTATCAAGTTGAGTCCTTTCAAAAGCAAGAATCACTTGTGTGTTTGTGGAGTTTATGCTTTGCAAATGTCTGGCAAATAGAAAACTTAATACATTATAGATAATTAATACTAATGGATTCTATGCATAATACTAATAAGCACAGATAGTATTTATTTACTTTATATATTCACGATAGCTGTGGCTATTAGAATGTCAGTGCACACTTTTTTGTTAATAAAGAAAATAGTGAGACTATTGTGTTGGCATTAAGAATTATTTGAAAATTTGCTTTACAATAGCACCCACAGTATATGCTTTTTGATCAAAGCAATGTAGAGTTTAATAGTATTGCATTAACGTTCCTGAGTCTTTCTATAGGTAGAGATAAAATGAATTTTAACCTTTTTTTTTCTTTTTTATTTTTATTTTATTTTTTATTTTATTTTGTTTTTTTTTTAAAAAAAATAATAATTTCATATAATTATAAGTTATAAAAATATAAATATAATAAAGAATTATTTTGATCTATAGGAGAGCAAAAATGTGATGTTCTTCTTTGTATTATATATATTATACAAACATGAATAAAAAATATTTACCATGGCCCAACACTTAATAAAATAATCCATGAAATGCATAAAAAACACAAATCAGATGTGAAGAAATTATTCATGATATAATAAATACCTGTTTTGTTTAGGCAAAGCCAAGTATATTACTAGAAATTATTTAAATAATTTGAAGCAATAGTTTCTCTGGGCTTAGCAATATTTATCTCTTCTTCTTCAAATTACTTCAACTAACTCTTTAGAGTCTTATCACAGTAAGCTAAAGGCAAAAATTTCTGTTTAATACGGTTTTATCAGCAAGTATTTTAACTTTTTTTTTTTTTTTAAAAAAAACTTGCTTTATAGTTTAATTCAAATTACCACAACTATCAAATTTTATTATCACACACCATGTGGAAATCTGAGAATTGAAATTTTGAATACTATAAAATGCAAATTTACAATTGGCTGAAAAATTTATTGATAAATGATTTTTATTCTTAAAATTAATATATTATAGCACATTTGCAAAATTAAGCAGACAATTTGTCACCAAATCCAAGCATTTGGTTCCTCAAATTAAATTTTAGCTACCAAATTATATATTAATCAATCAATCAATATTAAACCCTAAAAAAAATTTTTAAACTCCTAATCTGTACTATAACACATCCAACCTATCTTTTCTATATGCTAACTCATCTTCTACTCCCTGACGCATTCTATTAGATATAAGAATTTATTAAATAATGCATTATAACTTGAAGAATATTGATTATCTCAGTTAAAGTATATATATACATATTAGTAGTTAAATTTTTTAAATTTTAGAGTATTTCGCAAATGTACCATAATGATTATCTATATAGCTTTGAATTTTGGATGAAGATATTTTAATAAGATCTGATTAATTTAAATATTTAAACTATTTTTGAATCCCTATTAATCTGTAGAAATTGAAAATACTTTGAACATTGAAATAGACAGGTTATTATAAGATTTCTTCACTTAAATTTATGAATATAATTAAAAACTTTATTGTTTTAGTTAACCAATATATTATAAAAAATCTGCTATATAATATGGGTATTGATTCAGCAATGTATTAGTACAAGAAGAGATATTCAAAGTACAAATTATTAGATCACAAAATATAGAAATCTTTGAACACTAATAAATCACCAAATTAAACTTAAGAGAATATTAGATGATGGGAGATTTAATTATCTTGAATTGATTAATAAATACAGATATCTAGAAAAAGAAAAAAGAAGAAATTATAACTATATAGTAGACAATAAGAGATTTAAATTATCTTGGATTGATTAATGAATGTAGGTATTTGGGAAAAGGAGAAGAAATTGCAGCTATATATTATGCAAATTGGTTTGATAGAAATATTGTACTAGAAAATTAGTATTTAACAAGAAATTTTTAAAAGTAGTATCATTTTTGGTAGAAAAGAAATTTTACAGATTTCTGCATGATGTGTAATCATTCTGATAAGTAAATTTTAATAAAAAAGTGATGCATTATTGTATTTGAAATATGCATTTTTTATTTTATTAAATCATATGATAATTTTTTTATTTTTTATTTATTCTTATATAGGCACAT